ATTTTGTTCCTAAAATTAAATTTTAATGGAGTTTTCATTGTGCCTACTTTTACAAGAGAATAAACTCCAAAATGTTCATTAAATTGCAGAATATTTCCCTGTTAATTTTATTTACGTGGTTTTGTGTCTTAATGTTATTCTATCTTACAATCAAACTCCTTTCATCTCCAATCAAAAGTATTATCAATTATATATATTGTTTGCTTCAAATATTGAGTTTATATAAAATTTAACTGATTACCTTACTTATGTTCAAATTAATATTTAAGTTTCTTTTATATTTAAGAAATAATTATAATATCACTAATTTTATGTCTATATAATTATCGGATCCTTCCAAAAGTGAGCTTTTAAAGAAGCAAAATGCTTCCGAAAGGACTCTATATCCATTACTCGAATTTGAAACTGTTTGGTTAAAAAAGAATCTTAACCTGAATCTATTATGTATGTACCTGAATCCTATGTGCATTCCAATTTTTCTTTTTTGTTTTTACAAATTTTTGACTTTTTTTTACTACGATTTTTACTTTGTTTCTACAATTTAATTGGCCACTGAAAATTTTTTGAATTTAATCATATCTAATCTTGAAGAATTGAATTTAACAAATTTAATCATGGGCAAAAAATACAATGCAAAATCCTAATCATTTTGTATTCATAGAAAATTATTAATAGTCATTGGATTTTTTTACTATTTAAATTTTTATCATTACATGGACGAGTGAGCATTCGGCCAATTTGAGTAACATTTTTAACCAAAATAAAATTAACCAATTTTTTTTTTTGCTTCAACCAAATTTAACCAAACTAATTTTTTAACCGAACTTTACCGAATTGTTTGGGCTGAATTAATTTTGATTATTAATCGAACCAAAATAAAAGAAAATCAAAAACCTAATTAACTTATCAATTTAATCAAAAATCATGATTAACCGACTCTAATTGAAATAAAAACTAACCGAAATTACTAATCACTATTTAATCAAAATAAAAATTGAAATATTTTTAAATTTTATTATCTATTTAATCAAAATTACGTAGTTTTAAAATTTGATTAATTTGATTTGATTAACTTTTAACTGAATATTTAACCGATCATTGAAAATTAAAATATTTTTATCAAACATTTATTCACTGAACCGAACTCTCCGAATTGACTGAACCGAATGTTTAGCCTAATTAGAAGATAAAATGAAATAGAAACCACTTTCCTATCTTATAGGAAACCACTTGTCTTCTAGGGCCAAAGTCTTCTCTTAACTTCCTCGGGTAATTAAAGTGAACTTTTTCTTTGTTTTCCTTTAGCCAACATAGGATGTTTGCCCTGCTCTTTACCAAGGGAGTGAAATCTTCTTCCCTAACAATCGAGTTATTGCTTCGAGTATAGGGCAACCAAATGGAATAGCTCAGTCTGGACCTGTTGGGTCTACTAACCCTCACAGGGGAGTACCTTCTTTATCTATCAGGCTTTCTTCGGATTTCAGCGTCCTTAGCTTACGCTTGTTGTGCCTTCCATGCTTTGTGTAGTCTCACGAAGTTCTTAGCTCGGACCATTAGCTCTGCAAAAGAATAAGGTTTATCAAAGTTTAATGAATTGAAGAGTTTGTTATACTTATAGTTTTTAGACATGGTGAATATGGCCACTTCAGTGTGGAGGTCTTCTAGTTGCATAGCAAGTTTTTGGAACTTGGTGATGTAGTCTGGGAGTGACTCGTCCTTCGATCTCTTCAAGTTTATCAAATCCGACGATATTTTCTTACTCAAGATGCATGTGATGAACCGAGCTTTGAACGAGGCTGCGAGTCGGGCGAAGCTAAGAATGGAACCTATCTTGAGCATTTGGAACTATTCCTACGCAGGTCCTTTCAGGGCGATGAGGAATGCTTTGCACTATAATACATCTACTGTCGTTTAGATGTGCAAAACTGTTTGGGAATTCGCGAGGTGACTCCAAGGATCCGTGGTTCCGTCCTAAGTCTTGAATGTTGGCATCTTAAATTTATAAGCGAAATTCACCAACATGATTTCAGTGCTCAAGGATGAGTCATTTCTTAACCCAAAATCGGTGTTGTCTCCTACCTCTCAGAAATCTTTCAGGACTTACAGGGTTTTCTTCCGGAATTTTTCTTCATCATTGTGATATATGTTTCCAAGCAAGGGTGTGGATTGCACCAACGTGTTAGTCCTGTTCTGGGTGTCTATGTACCAAGAAGATTCACCATCTTCCGTCCCATCACCTGGTTGCATATTGACGGTGCTTCCTTTTATCATGACATTACCTCGTCGCCTTCCGCTAGGAGGTATCTGAGATATCGAGTTCATTGGTTTCGCCATTATTCTTTCTAGCACAGTTCCGAAATTATTATAGGCTTGGGTCAGTAGTGCTGCCGCCTGTGGATTTAGAACGGACACATCAGAAGGCGTGGGGATCATCTTCCCCACTGAGCTCCATGCTCTGTCTGTTTTCCCAATTCCTGCAGCGGGTGTTTTTTCCATCTTGTTATGAGGATCTAGTGTGTTGTTCAATATGTAGGGGTGAGCATTCTTCTCTATTAATCCAAAAGCGTGAAAATAATTCAACACACGCCCACCGCACCAATTTGATAGTCTTAAAAATGTGAAGTGTTACTATAATGAATGATACTTGCATATGTATATTGAATATGGAAGAGCATTAACCTTTTCCCTAGAAGGTCTTGTGTCTTATATACATGGTTAGGATATGGTTAGTTATTCGAGGGATTCATATTAGGGACACTATCTCCTAATATCAAGCCTATACCCGTTTATTTTCTTATTGTTTCTTTATTTAGGTTATTATTGTTGTTGTCTATCATTTATCAATACAAAATTTTCAATTCTGTATACTAGTAAAAGTGTTTAATCATATGCTTCTAAAATACAACGCAAGCCACTTTTTTTATATTTCTTTATATTCAAAAGTTGTTAAATTCTTTCTTTTTTATCTCTTTTTAACCATTTATCCCTTATACATGTATTTAACATGGGGATTTTCAAAGTGCTTCTACTTTGGATATTTAGGTTTGCAGGTGTTTTATACAATTACGTCGAGGTAAATGTAACTAGAAGCCATTGCTTGTATTTATTGTTATTTTTGTCTCTGCAGGGTCAACCTCTCTCTCTGGTTAGACGTCTGGCCTCATCAAAACAGTGGCGATCAACGTGGCTTAAAGACCATTCCTCTGACTTTGGAAAGATGGAGATCATCACGTAATTTCTCAACAATGATGTGAGTGATTTTTTTTTTTCTCTAATTTTCCTTTTTATTTACTTACATCTTCTCTAGATTTAGTAACTCTTGCTATGAACCTGCTGATCGATTCACGTACTGTGGGTGCTAATGGAAGTTCGAATGTTTCTAAAGTCATGTTTCTAAATAAAAATCACCTAATTAATTTTTTTTACTGAATAACTTATTATCATTTTTAATATATAATAAAAAAAACTAATCAACCATTTTTAGAAAAAAAAAAAAAAGTGTAAGCATAATGAATCTTAACGTGCAACACACATTATTAATACTAGTAAAGAGAAAAAGGAGAAAGACAAATAATCACAATTGGATATGTAAATACTTATATTGAAACAATAAGATGAATATACAGCTTTTACTCTAACGTCAAACTGGAAAGGAAGCAAGATTCTTTTACCCTAACATCAAACTGAAAAGGAAGCAACTTGAAGCTCACAGTTAAATAGATGGCTAATTTGGTTATTCATCTTTGTATAGAGAGGAAACTCGTTTTCAAATTACCTAATTTGTGTAAATAGCCTGGAAATGTTTCTAGAGAGTTTTCGGACATTTATGTGCAGGAAACATTTTCAAAATGCGGAAACAACAGCCAAAGAGATTTTTCATGCACCTTAGCTTAGTATTATTAATATGTTGCACATAAAGATCAAATGGAAGGATAGAAATATTGTTACCATGTTTGACTATTCTTCTTTGAATAAAGAGCAAACTCGTTTCGAAATTACCTAATTTATGTGAATGGCTTGGAAATGTTTCTGTTTGTATGGAGAAAATGTTTTCAAAATGCAGGAACAGTAGTGAAAGAAATTTTTCATACATCGGAATTTAGTATTATTAAGTTATTGCACATTAAAGATCAAACAGAAGGATAAAAAAAATATTGTTTTGGCTGTTCATCTTTGTATAGAGAGGAAACTCGTTTCCAAATTACTTAATTATGTAAATGGTCCCGGAATATTTTTGGAGAGTTTTCGGGCGTTTGCGTGTAGGAAACATTTCCAAAACACGGGATCAACGGCTAAAGAGATTTTCCATGCATCATAGCTTAGTATTATTAAGATGTTGCACACTAACAAAGATCAAACGAAAGGATAAAAACACCATATTTGGCTGAACAAATAAAAAACATATGTGATGTAAATTTAAATTTGATTCATCAAAAAACCTGATAGCATATGGAAGCTTAAATTGTATTCAGAAGTGCAATTACCTACCACTTACAAAAGAAAAAAATGGATAGAAGAGAAGGAAGGCTTACTCTGAAATTGGAACTTTAGCTATACATAGAGAGAAACAAACTTGCACACAGAGGGATAGAGCTTGCTTAATGCAGATGAGAATCCATTTCCTTAAGCAGAACAAGATTCTCGATCTGCACCAAGCAAACTCAATCCACCAGTGAGTATGAAAAAAAGATGAGATATATTGTTAGCTTTAGATCCTCCGGTTCTACTTATTAAAAAATATATAGAAACTATGGTATCACTAACATTAGCTAGGAAATGGAATATCACTCTCGTAGAAACAGTTGAAAGAATGAAAACATAAAAACACTTAAACTTGTATTTTAAACTATGCTTTCGCTTTGTATCGAGGGTCACAATTTTACAACTATACAATCAAACATTTATATAATAAGACATGTGAAACTGAAAGGTAAATAATAGATTCTAACATTTCATCTACTTAAATAGATAACTCATAAATTACCCACACATTTAATACGTAGAAACTCCAAATTTAATAGCACTTTAATATTTCAATTTATTATTTCTAACAGAGATTACCATGACTGCAATTTAGATTGTTGAATAAAGTATTTGGGAAATGCACAGTTACGGCAGCCAATTACTCAAGCATGCAGTTTCAGCCATCTCATTATTACAAGGATGAATCTGATGAGAGACTTACTTTACTACAAGGATACACAGTTGAGGAAAAACAGTTCAGCATTTTTCTCCTCTATGTAATCAGCTGGCTTTATTTTTGCTTTTCTTTTTCCTCCAATTTTCTTCCAGATGTCAGCTAGCCAAGTTGTCCTTGAGTTACGTGTCTCTCAAATGGTAGCAACACTAAGGCTACAAAAAGACTTCCTTCCATAACCAGTCAACAAGTTTGTGAAGAGGCAACATATGAATCATTTCTAAAAGCCAATGATCTAAATGTATCTTTTCTGAACAAACAACACTATAGTCCCACTTTGTTAGCAGTAGTGATGACAGCAAAGCTAACTACTCGGTTTAGTTTAGCTTTAAGTTCTTTTGTTTGGTAGAGAGTTGGTAAAAAAAAAAATATTGCATTTTTTATAAATAGAGCTGCTGGGGCAGATTTGAGATAGGGAAAAAGAAGAAAAGAGAGCATGAAGCTGAGAATGAAGAAAAAGAAGAAAAAAAAAATCTTTGTTTCATGCTTTGTAAATCCTTTGCTATGAGTACTGAATATATGTTTTCCTCTTCATCTATATCTCTTCTTTTGTTATGTGTTTAAAATAAACTTCTGTCATTTCTTTGAGAAATCTACAACCATCTCTCCTCCCCCATTTTTCCAACACACTTCTTCCAGGACTTATGCTGACCTCTATTGTTTTGTTCTAGGAGTCGACAACAGTTAACTGGTAATGGAGACATGCCAACACTTATAGGTGTGGAGTGTCCAGGCAAATGCATGCAAGACCTTTAATCTTTTTCTAGTTTCACCAATAATCCCCACAGGAACAGGAACCCCCTTCGAAGTGGTGAAAGCGATGATTATCTCTTAAGATGATCAACCTTTTCACAATCTTGGATATGTATTTGATGGCATTGTGACAATCTTCGCATATCCGCAAGTTTTTAATCACACGAATAGGTCTTCCAGGAGGTATGGACAGAACCCCATATGCTACAGCTAATTTCTCACTGTGATACTTGAGCATATGCTCCTTTTCCTCCTCATCCACATCATGTAAAACCATTTTTGTTGAGGACAAATATCCCTCATGCTTCATTTTCAAATACATCTCTTCAAGAAATGCATATATTTTATCCCTCTCTGGGTGGAAGCAATCCCCAACTGTAAAAGTATGAATTTTATTTTGCGCTTCAAGCCAGCTATGCCCAGGTACCTTCTTCACACCTTTATCCCTCATTTGCAATCTCATCTTACTAACATCAGGCCATCTTCCTGAAGCAGCATATAAATTTGAGAGAAGAATATACATCCCTGAATTATCAGGCTCCATCTTGAAAATTATCTCAGCAGCCTTTTCACCTAATTCAGTATTGCCATGGACCCTGCTTGCACCAAGTAAAGCACCCCATGTAGAAGCATCTGGTTTGAAAGGCATGTTCCCTATTAAATTCTGGGCTTCTTCCAATCGTCCAGCTCGACCTAAAAGATCAACCATGCAAGTGTAGTGCACTGAATTTGGTGTTATACCATATTCTTGATTCATTGAATAAAAATATTCAGTTCCCTTCTCTACCAAGCCCGTATGACTGCAAGCAGACAACACACCAACCTGAACAGCAAATATTGAGCAAAAACTAAGAACTTTTAATAGAGAAAAATTTTCTGCATAAAAGGATTTTATTAGATTCGAAGATACCATCATGAACAATCGTAATATATTTAAGAATTCATTTACTTATAGCAAATTTTAATTAGTATCTAATTGTCATATTTTCAGCAGATGTTGCTTTACATAAATTGATAATCAGATAATATGAAAATGTTTCACATGGTAAAATCCTAAGGTTGCATCACATTACACTAAGGAGAATACAGGAAAAGTTAATATAAGTAGAAGAGGCTGCTTAAGTACTTCCTCGGTGAGGACATGACCGACTTGAGCCAGCATATTGATAAGTAAACTTGTTGCCTGATGGACTCCTAGTTGAATAATCAAACAAGCATTGTCTCTTTAATTCTTCCACCTCTTCTCATCAAGAAAGCTCCACAAGTTTGAGGTCTATATTAAGACTCAACTCAAGAAAGCATTACTCTCAACTCTATGAGGTTGGTTATACTAATAATTTATTATGCTGATTTAAAAAAAGTTACCATTAAAGCCTTAGCAAATATTAAGAAAATTAGTATATCTTATTCAACTATGCATGAAGAATATTTAAGAGTGGGTCAAAGGAATAAGTTAACAATTACCATAGTGGCATCATCAGGCTTGAAACCCATTCTTTTCATTGACTCAAAGACCATCAATGCCTCTTTGCCAAATCCATGCCTTGCATAACCATAGATCATTGTATTCCATGAAATTAAATCTTTATCAGCTATTTCTTGGAATGCATCATCTGCCTCATCGATGCTTCCACACTTACAATACATTGCAAGAAGCGCGTTCCCCACATAGCATCCAGCCTGGTATCCGGCCTTAACCAGCCAACCATGCAATTGCTTCCCCAACTCCAAAGCTGCAATATTGGCACATGCTGTTAAAGCAGAGGTAAATAAGGATCTGTTCAACCTTGCCCTATCCCTCTTCATTTCCACACAAAGTTGTAGAGCCTCTTCACTTAAACCATTTTGAACATAGCCAGCAATCATGGCTGACCATGAGATAGAATCATGCTGAGGCATCCTATCAAACAAATCCCTTGCATGGGCGACTTCCCCACTCTGAGAATATCCTGTGATCATTGTATTCCAGGAACTAATATTTTTACATGGCATTGCCTCAAAAAATTCTTTTGCCATGTCCATCCTCTTACATTGTACATAACCTGCAACCATTGCATTCCATGAAACTGAATTCTTCTCAGGCATTTTATCAAAAATACTTCTTGCCTCATCCAACATTCCATTTTGAACATATCCAGAAACCATTGCCGTCCATGTAAACACATCCCGAGTTGGAGCCAACTCAAACAATCTCTGTGCTTCTTCTACGTCTCCATTTTGTGCATAACCAGTAATCATAGTGTTCCATGAAACCTTATCTCTTATAGGGATCCGATCAAAGAGCCTCCTTGCATCAGCTAACCTCTTCCTCCTCAGAAACCCACCCATCAAACAATTCCAAGACACGATGTCCCAATCCATTTTTGACTCAAATAACTTCCTCGCATCCTCTATCCTCCCATTCTGCACATAGGCTGCAAGCAATCCATTCCAAGAAATTGCATTCTTAGACGGCATCTTATCAAATATTTCTCTAGCTTCAACAACAAATCCCTTCTGTGCATACCCAGATAGCATTGCATTCCAAGAGACAATATCCCTTGCAGGCATTTTCTCAAAAAATGTGCGGGCAGCAGTAAGACTTTTATTCCTCACGTACCCTGTAAGCATCACGTTCCAAGAAAACAAATCTCTGTTAGGCATTTTATCAAACATTTCTCTTGCAAGATCAAACTTGCCATTTGACAAGTACCCAGAGATCATTGCATTGTAGGAGATCGTGCTTCGAGAGGGCATGGAGTTAAATATTTGAAGGGCAGAGTCACATTGGCCATTGTGCATTTGAGTGGTGATTGCCATGTTACATTTCACTATATCTGAGTCTCTGGAGGTTTGTGATTCATTCTTGGATACTTTTTTTTGTTGGCTTAATTCTTTCTTTGATGGGTATGGATTTGGGCTTGTGAATTTGGTTGTGGAAGGTTTGTTAATGTGTTTTTCCTGAGATTTCTGCGTACTAACGCAGCTGTGCAACTGTCTCAACCAGAATCTCCCGCGCATTTGCTTCAGTTTGAGAAATCAGAAGTGTGGGCGACGTTTTGACTGTGTCCTTATAAACTAGCCTTGAAGCATTTTGATATTTGAGGCATTTTTTATGAAGTGTGAACTATCCTGAGGTTTGAAGTTGTGGTACTACTTTAGGAGTCTTTTTTATGTTACCTAATGAATGGACGCAAATTCTTATTTAACTGCAATTTTATCTTGTCCCCATGTTGTATAATTTCTGTATTTCATGTTTAATTTTGGACTTATGTTCAACCAGATGCTTAGTTATAAAAATAAATTTGTATTAAAAAGTTTCATATTTTGTCTCATATTTACATATAACAGGGTGAGCATTCACTTAGAATTACCTTAATTTTAATTCATTCGAATATATTTTTATGGTAACCGAATCCGAAACTTAATAGTTACAAATGGATCCAAATCGAATTAAATTGTTTTAGTTTGATTTGAATTTGGTTATTCTAAACTAAATTAATTATTTTGGGCTTGAAAATAAATAAATTTAGTTATATATAGTAATCAAACCAAAATGAAAATTAAATAATTTTATATATTCAAACCGATTTGGTAATTAAACTTTTAAAATAATTGTCTGAATCCGATCAAAATTAGTCATTTTATTCGGTTTTTAGTTAGAAAACGAGAATCGATCACCCCAGCATATAAAGAATGTATCGTGGTTTCATTGTATCGTTTTGAACTTCCTCTAGTTGCAGCCATCTAGATTTAACTGAAAAAACAATTAAAGCAACTAGTGGTTTAGTATATTGGTGAGGCCAATAGGACAGGGTACTAGGTTTCCGGGATGCTCGGAAAGGAAAAGGTGAAAAGAAAAATGGAGCAATTATGTAAGAGCTTCAGTGGACAACATAGGAAAATGTCAATACATGGCAATGTCGTGTAATTACTGTTGTTATAAATTTGGTAGTGCTCCTAGATGGGAAGGATTAGGTACAATGTAAGAAATATTTGGCACAAATGGAAATCTGAAGAAAGACCGACACATTTCTCAGATAATAACTTGGTCAATTTGATCAAATCCAAAGTTTTTGTAATGAGTTTCAAATTGAGCTCAACAGTAAGTAAACCTGATCAACCTCAATGCTCTTGTTCTTTCTTCCTTCCTAGATATATACGGAAAGGAGAGATGAGTGTTATTGAACCCGAGTCAACTCATGCAAATGCACATTAATTTTTTAGTTAAATATCTAAGCATTCTCTTTCACTTGCATGGTATACATGCATTAATGCTCTATTTGTTTCATAAAATAACTTGCAGAAAAATAACTTGTTAAAAAATATTTTCGATGGAGTGAAAAATATTTTCTAAATGACTTATTTTCCATTGTTTGATTATAATATTGAAAATTAGTTAAAAATATTAAAGTTTTTATCTCATAAAATCATAAAAAATATTAATAATAATAATTCTCCTTTTCACTTGCATTGTTATTACATGCATTAATGCCTCTATTTGTTTCATAAAATAAACTTACAGAAAAATACTTGTAAAAAAATATTTCCTATGGAGTTGAAAAATATTTTCTAATACTTAATTTTCCATTGTTGATTATAATATTGAAAATTAGTTAAAAATATAAAAGTTTTTATTTCTCATAAAAATCATAAAAATATTAATAATAATATAATTTTTATAATTTAAAAATTTTATTTGTTAATATAATTTATTGTTAAATATGAGAAGAATGCAAAAAAATATATATATAAATTATGAAAAACCCAACGGTAACTGGTGGTAGTGACTCCGATGATTAAAAAATTAAAAAATAGATTTATAAGGTTTATCAATATCTAGAAAATATTTTACTCTCTTGAAAATGAAAAGTTATTTTCCTTAAAAAAGAACTTAATTTTTCTTTGATTAGGAAAATATTTTCTATTGACTTATTTTCTTGAGCATGCCAAACAATAGAAAATTGTAGAAAATAGTTTTCTGTAAGTTATTTTACAGAAAAAAAGAGCCGTAAATATTAATTCACTCTCCATATGATTATAATTGAGAGAGTCAATACATAGAGTTGGTTATCCAAAATTATATGGCAAGTTCACATAAACCTGAAGTTTAATATCAAATTATTTGGCAGGTTATGCTAGGTTAATGCATAAAATTCATTTTATAATTTAAGATCAATTTCACTTTCCATATTAATTATCTTTGTAGCCCTTTGAACTTTGCGGAAACCATCATGGCCTTACTCTTTCACATTTCAATAATAATTATGTCACCCATCAAAATAAAATGTGAAAGTGTAGGGTTATGATTGAACACTTGCAAAGATACTTCATATTAGCAATAGACATATTTATTACTGAAATATGAAAGTATAGAATTATGATTGAGCTCTCATAAAATTTAAGGGACTGAAAGGATAATCCGTCGAAATTTAAGATCAAATTTATGCGTTACGCGTCATACATATTCCTTTGTTAATTAATACATATATCTCAATAATGGAGCTTTTTGGCTATTTATAGTAGCTGAAATTTGCATTCATGCAATAAGAATAGCTCCTTCAGTTGTGGATGCCGGAGTTTGCTTGGTGCAAGTAAGGAATTTGGTTTCTTAGCTTCTTGATTTTGATTCAAATCTAAATGGTAAAGTTTAAGAATATAGATCTTCTACATAGAATTTTGAGGTAAAGTTTCAGAATATAAGAGCCCGCTTGGAACAAATGAATAATGATTATAGAATTCATTTATAAATGAATTTCAAGTAGAATTCATTAGTAAATGAATTTGTTATGTTTAGTATGCTATAATTTAAAATAAGGAATTCAATTGAACTTCACAAAATTATATTTGGAATAAATTCTTAAATGAAAATTCATTTATATTTATTTCTTATAACACCCTTGACATAATAATTTAACAAAAATAAATAACAAACACCAAATTAAATAAACAAACACCATTATATTTATTCTATACAAATTATATTTATTATATACAATATAATAACTTGTCATTTTTTATTAAAATATAAATAATAAATTTCATATAAATACACTAATATTGCATGCTAATTAATTAATTATATAAGCAGTAACATTCATAATAATGATAATTTTTAATTGATGTAAAAAATGTTGTTAATTTAATTAATTAATTTGGAAACTAAAAAAAATTAAGAATGTTATTATTGTTTTTAATTGTATTTGAAACAATTGTTGATACTCAGTTTTTATAGTTTCACAGTAATTATAACTAATGTTATTACTAGACTTCAAAAAGGAAACAAAAACGTTATTAATAGTTTGACATTTTTCAAAAAAAAAAAAAGGAAAAAAATATGTCATTATTGGATTAAAAAAATAACGTTGTTATAATTTGAAATTTTCCAAGGAAAATAAATAAAAAAGTAAAAATAGTTAAGCTTATAATGAAAGGGTAATTCTGTCAATAAATATTTTAATGGTCAATTTTATAGAATTCATTTACAAATTCCATCAATTTTAATAGAGTTTGAGTTTTGAGTTAGGCATACTCAATTCCATAGAATTCAATTCGTAGAATTCAAATCTGTATTTTTTTCATTCCAAACACAACATTTTGGATTTTCAAATGAATTCATTTATTCCAAATGGACTCTAAATATTTTGCAATAGAATTTTGAACATTAACTTATTTATTTATTGGAAGCCATTTTCTTGACTCAAACTTTTATAGTCGAGATGACTCGAATTCAGATCTCTTATAATTATATATATATATATATATATAAATAAAGGAGAATCAATAGACTTTCTTCAATTCTAACGTCGCGATTTCTATACAAAGTGAAATCCTATAGGTTTTTAGCTTTTGCATTTATCTCAACTAACAGAATTTGAAAGGAAATTTTAGATTTTGAAAAGAGAGATTGTCATAAATATTTACTTTTTTTTTTTAAAGGATCTCATAAATATTTTCTACTTAACTAGGTATCTGCCAATTGTCAAACAAACTCATCTCTCTTTTTGTGCTGTGCCCTTCTCCTTCTTGCCGCTGCATCACCGTCCTGGCGCTGATGTTTTTATTTGTCCTCTAGGCTCAACAATGAAGAAAGAGAGAGAGGTTGCATCTAGAGGTGTGGCAATCGTCTCACACATTTTACACTAACGCTAAAGCAGGTAATTTTTCAATTGAATCTGGACTTTTTCTAGGTCTCCTTGGCAATGAACGATTTCCACAATTACTATCAGATTTCCTATCTTTTTTCACAATTAACACAATTACAGAACGTTTCTTTTTTCTATTTTTTTTTTATGATTGATATATTTTTATATAGGATTCCATGAAAAGAGTTACCCAGTGGAATCTTGATTTTACAGAGCAGTGCGCAAGGAGATAGGTATATATGATATATGCTAACTAAATTTAACTTCAGAAATACTGATCTGTTTTAATTCTGATAAGAGTTATTTTTATAGTGTTTTAATATAATTTTTATTAGGATTTTTAGTATTTTTAATTTATTAGGATTTTTAGTATTTTTAATTACTTTAATTAGTTTTTATTTAATTTTATTTATGTTTTTGTATAAAGCTTCCTTTAATCATATTTCACTTTATCTTGAGAAAATTTGTAGGATTTTTATAGAAAACCGTCTTAACTCCTATCTAGACGCTGAAAGAGTCCTATTTGGAAAGAAATGCAAAACTTAAACAGTTTTCTATCCCTAAAAGATATCCTCTTCAATAAAAATTCACTTTCCTAAACGAAGATATTCCAGAAAGTCTATATAAATAGAGAGACTAGCATAAAGACGTATCGATTCATTGTATATTCCATCTTTTGTTCTATTGTTTTCTCTCTGACCAAGACTTCAAGTATTCCAGATTTGTGTCAAGATTCAAGGAAGCCACCCAAGCCAATCATTAACTAGTTTTATTTCTAAACTCTTTTCTTGTTTTATTTTCAATATTCATGTTATTCATGTTATTATGAAATATTTCCAAGTTTAATTGAGCTATCTTATTTAATTACTATGTCGAACTAAACTCTCATACTAGGGATTTGATGTAGCTTAATTTTGATTTCAATTTATAATATTAGATTTGCTTTTTCTTGTTTATGATATAATTTAGTATTAAACTTAATGCTTCCAGGCAGAGTTTCTTCCCTGGATTGATTAATTTCATTGATCACTATCGAGAGAAGGGTTTTTGATATGAATAGAATAATAAATTATATGAGAATAATAACTTGATGTGGAAGCTATATGGTTTGACTCATGAGGGGTTTTCATAAGTTAATGATATTAAGTTATGAATTCATAAACAAACCATAAAACTTAATGATTTAATTCATGTTTGGTTGCACCATTGGAAGATAGGTAATTAGACTGGATTAAAATAAGTAACAATACATCGAGAGAACTTGTTAGTGATTTTAGGGTTGTTTTCCCTACTTAAACAATTAAAATTGATTATCAAACTAATTTATTAAATTGGATAGAATTAAGTGAAGTCAAAATCCCTAGTAGCTTTAATTTAAATCCTTATTTCTTTTCGTTCAAATAGTGTTGCTCATGATTTTCTTTTTTTCTCATTTCTTTTTGTTCTCTTTTATTTGTTTAATTTAATTTCTTAAAATAATTCTCCTTATTGCCGTTTAAATAATAATAGATTAACATAATTTTGGTACTTTGTATATAATCTATGTGGAAACGATACTCTACTCATCTATATTACTTGTTGCGATTTTCATATACTTGCAAAAAATCACTGTCAAATTCTATCTTAAAGAATTGGTTTTTGAAAATTGTAATTTTTTGGAGTTTTTGGTTGAAGTTAGTAAGCCATTTACAAGGCTGAAATCTGAAATTCTGAATTCTCGACATCCTATGAATGTTTGCTTTGGTTTGTATTATGATTGCTCTGCTCACATGCTTTTGTCCCACTCTCTCTTTGTAATTTTTTGGAGTTTTAGGTTGAAGTTAGTAAGCCATTTACAATTTGAACAATTTTACAACTTGGAAAATGGAAGTCTATACTAATTCTAAGGATTAAAAAAAAAAAAAAAAAAAAAACCGTTAAATGAAATCCCAGTATGATTTTTGCGTTTCGGGCACAAGATATTCATTCACGAATTTGGGTAGATTGAAAACTCAAAAAAAAAAAAAAAAAAAAAAAACCCCGTGAAATGAAAATCCCAGTATGATTTTGCTGTTTTCGGGCACAAGTATTCATTCACGAATTTGGGTAGATTGAAACTCAGTATTGACTTTACCTCTTGAAATCAAGCTTATATGATTTATGGTGTCAGTTTCATTTTGTTTTTTCAAATGTTATTCTATGTGAATTATATTTCTGGTTGTTACATTTTGAATAATGTTCTGTACAGGACAATAAAGAAGATGAACACCCAATCAGATTCATCACTTCTTTCTGCAACCTTCTTGATGCTGGTAAGTTATGGAAAGAAAGTGCACATTTTTAAAAATTCATTTATATGGATGAATTTTCATTGTTGGATCAAAACTACAGAATAACAAAATATTGTTTAAAAATTTGATTAGATTACTTTTTAACTCACCTAATTATTTCATTATAACAACTAAATTTTAATCCCAAACTAATAACAATAGTAAAAAATAAACAAAGCATAAAATAAATAAACAAATGATTTTGAAAATTAATTTTGGTAAAAAGTTTTGAAAATTACTTCAATCTTAAAAATTCTCTCTCCTTAGTATGCCACTAAAATTAAGATAAAGGATTAACAGGATTAGTCTGAGTGAAAAGGATGCAAATCTCTTAAGCAAAATGTCGAATGTTTGATCTTTATAAATGTAGAAAATCTTTATTTGAGCACTTCCCTTTTATGGGCTTGATGTGGCGTGAGCATAATTAATTTTAGCTTAATGAGCTAGAGACACCTATGATATAAGAAAAGAAAAAAAAAATTTACAAGACTATTCATATGCTTAGAAAAATACGACTACTCCGATATTTTCTTTTTTAAAATATACCAAATTTTTCCTATGTTTTACTTTCATTATACTGCTAGGTCATTTCGTCTAATTTTTGCATATTTCTATTAAGTTAACAAGAAAATATATAGGGAAAACGAAAGATACTAAAATATTATATCAAAAAAATTACAATACGATCTCTATGGTTTGAAAAATATAAGTAGTCCATCCCTATATTTTTAAAAATAAATAGGGTATTTTTCGTCATTTCAAAATATACTTAACGGAAAAGATGCAAAAATTGAACGAAATGACTTTATAGTCTAACGGAGTAAACTACAAGGAAATTTTAATCTATTTTCTAAAAGACAGGAAACTAGTTGTATTTTACAACTATAAAGACCGTACATAAAAAAAGGAGTATAATAAAGAAATAATAAAATAAGTTTTAGAAAATTATAAAGAATACTTGTTATATCAAATAGCACTCTTTAATTAAAAAAAAAAAAAAGAAATAATTTTGGATAAACGTAATTTAAAAATGATAGATAAAAGTAAATCGACGGAATAATAGACATGTACACTCACATTGTTTAATCATACGTGACTTTGCTTGTGAGCAATGGCAATAGCATTTAAGAATATCACAAGAAATGGCATTCAGAATTTTGAGTTGTGATAACATTTAAGTGAAGTATCAGAGAAAAAGAGTACATTTCTTGGTTGTTTCTTTGGAACTGTAATCCAACTTTACACTCACGGCCACGGCGTGCAAGCTACCAGTCAGCTGAATCCCAAATGCCTGTATTTTTAATTTAAATTTATGAAATTATGAAATATATACTATATAATATAAACTTTCAGATAAAACTTTTTTTTTTATTAACTTTGATAAACTTACTTGCATGTTTTTCATGGGTGAATATTTAGAAAATTAATATATTAGGAAAATTAATATTATATAATATATATTAATATATATATTATAATATATATAAATTGACAATGATAAAAAAATAAAATAATAATAAAGTTAATGCAAAGAATATAATTTAAATATATATATATTGACAATGATAAAAAAATAAAATAAAATAAAGTTAATGCAAAGAATATATTAACTCTAATTTTTTTTTTATATAAACAAAGTTTCTATTTTAAGTGTTTTATTTAAATAGATAAAATTACTTAATTTGGACTATGGCAAATCATAAAGTCTAAATTGCTCTTTATTTACTTTGTTAACAGCATCAAGTTTTTTAGAAACACAAAAAAGTGGCAAATCATAAACTTTCTTAAGATACTTTAGCTCCACATTTTATCCTTAGCTAATCTAATTAGTAAGGATCCAAAAATTGCGGATATAGCCCAAACAACTCCTCTATCTCTCCCTTATCTAATTGGTCCCTACCTTCTATATGATGATTGGTTCATTTTATACCAATCAATCATTGTTCATTTATTTCTTATATTGTTTTCTTTTTTTCAAAAATGATAACCATTAAGTAATTCATTTAAAATATTTTGAATTTTGTGAGTTGTAATGATCGTACCTCGTTTTGACCTTAACCTCTTCGACACTCCAATTTAAACTTTTATAATAATTGAACACCAATTTAAAATCTGAGTTGAAGAAATGAATAAAAAATAAAAACGGCGAGACCCACTCTTGACACATGAGTTAGCCTTACTCAAGCCATGTCAAGTTGGAAAGCACCATTTTATTAGACACTCACAAAACCCTAAAAGCATCATTCTTTTTCTCTCATGGCTTATTGAACTCTGGGCACAATGAAAAATAATCAGCATACACATCTCAAACCGGATAAATTGAAAGAGGTGCACTCAAAACAAGTTTTAACACCTAGAAACTGGCTCAAATGTGGATAGATCACCCATCTTTTACTTATTAAACTGTCATGAAATAACTTAATTTACACTCCTCCCTCTCTAAATTGAATCAAACTTTCTTTTTTGCTTTCCTTGTGCTTCAAATCCATTTGTACAAAGATCTTATGATTGAATAAATTGAAGAGAAAACAAAGAGATCAATAAAGAAATTGAACTTCACCGATGAACCTGTTTTTTATTAGAAGAAACTGGAGACAAGCTAGGGATCTGTGCCTTGATTGCCCGCGAAAGCCGTAGCCCTTTAATTGCTTAATGATGAATCCATTTTTGATTTTCTTTCCCTCTTACATAGATCTCTCCTATCTACTCTGTCTATTGGCTTTTTTCAAGTTCTTACTCCAGCGAGATTGCTGCCTTCTAACAAGATCATGGTACAACTCTCTTCCCCCACTCAGATAACTTAGTAATTCAATATCTTGAGTCCTATGAGATCCCAATTTTTTTCTAAGGGTTCTGATGATGTTGACATGCTACCACTGACATCTTCGCAAAATGGTTTTCTATAAACGAAAAAGATTTTTTTGGGGATTTACCTATCTTTATTCTTCTTCATTACAACTCTATATTCAACAATAATCACCACTGAAGAGGAATTTTGGTTAGAGGTCGAATTTGAGGAAAATGCAATGCAATTGAGGAGATTGAGAAATTAGGTTTAGGGATTTGAAACAGGATGGTGAAGGAAGGAGAGAGATGAGAGAGATTTCTCATCTAAATGAAATTGCCGCATCTTAATTTTTTACCGAAGCTAGGTTAGGTTAACTCATGTGTCAGAGTGGGTCCCACTGTTTTTATTTTTTATTATTTTTTTATCTAGATTGTGAAATTGGAGTACAATTATTACAAAAATTTGAAATTGAAGTGTTTAGGTGGTTAAGGTCAAAATAAATACAATCGTTACAAATCGTAAAGTTCAGGGTATTTTAAGTGAATTAATCATAACCATTAGATTATAGGTCTAAAAATTATGAACATTTATTTTAATATCACTTAATTTGAAAACTCTAGAATTTAATCAATGATAAACACTTATATACTTAATAATATAATATTTTCAAATATAATCCAAAATTTTCTTTAAATATAAAAATACTAAAATAACATTGCACTACATAATACTTAAAATTATTTTCATTTAATTTGAAAACTCAAAGTTTTGAGATTAATGTTTAGAATGTTAAGTAGCAATAACAACAGCTGAATATATCAATTGCCATCTGAATTTGTGCTTAAAAGTCTTGTGGTCCCTTATACTTTAGAAATAACCCCTAAACTTTTTTTATATATAATTTATGCATATATCTGGCCATGTAAGAAAATAGAATGTAAAATACATGCATGGAATGATTCATTTGGTCACATAAGAGCATCTTATGTGGCAACCTATTGCATTTTCTCTTTCTCCATTAAATTCCACTTGCTTTTCTTCAATAACTAATATCCATCTCTTTCAAAACTTTAAATTTGCATTTTGAATAACAGTAATGACACCACCAAACCCAAAATCAATATCAAGAAAAGAAAAATTCCTAAAAAATTTATTGTTATTTCAAAATCCAACAACAATTCAAGAGATGCTAGTTCCAACAACATGGAAAGTAAAAAGATCATTTTAATTCAAGACGGAAGAGAAAAGGAAAAGAAAAAAGATATAAATGTGAAGTCTTTACATCAAAATGGGACTCACTTGGACAAAGAGATCCAGGAAAAGGCTTAGTGAAATGGATAAGCCAAGGAATGAAAGCAATAGCTACGGATCTTATTGCAGCAAAAGCGCAAGGGGAGTTCTTCAAACTTTCACAAGAACTCCGGCAAAGGATGCGATTAGAGGCTAGCTTGACATTTGTTATATAAGCTCAGCCTTATATTAATGTTATTAATATCTCGAAAATGGAACAAACAAAAAATCAAAAATGGAACAAACACAAAATCAAAAATATTGCAGGATTAGATTTTTCAATGCAAAGCTTTCTGCATTTTTTCGAAGTTTTAAGAAAAAAAAAAAAAAAAAGAAAATTTTAAGAAAAAAAAAAAAAAAAAAAAAAAAAAAAAAAACAAAACAAAAAGAAAGAGAACAGGATTCTAAATTAGGTGAGATGGCATCCACTATGCAACCTAATTACTAGTTGTCTTGTCACTAATCCAAGCATCGTGCGTTTCATTCACTCGATGCTTTTGGCTCTCACCAAACGTGTATAAATTATAATAAAAATAGGTTTAGGAGGCCACAACATCATTTCTAAAATATAAGGGCCATAGGACTTTTATGCACAAATTTAAGAGGCAATTGATGTATTGGATCAAGAACAACTAAATTTAAGTTTCAAACTAGTTGGAATCATATAAAGTTTTTGTTTGCAATATTCAATCTAATTAAATTAATAGTTAGACAAAGCAGGGTATATATATAAAAAAATAAACATACTTTTTGTAGAAAAAAGGGAAAGAAGTTTAAATGCTAAGCAAATAATAAAATTAAATTGGTATTGTTAAATGGCATCTTTTCCTTCTTTTTTTTTTTTTTTTTTTTTTTTTTTTTTTTTTTTTTTTTTTTTTTTTTGCAAGGGGAGTGTTAAATGCAGTGGCAGAACCAAAAAAATGATTAGAGGGGGCAAAGTTTTTTTTTTTTCAACACTTAGAGGAGTGATATCTAAAAA